TACAGATATAAATTACAATGGCAGCTCTAGGACAAAGTATGCAGGAGGAGAAGCATGGCAAAGTTGAGATGACTTGGATGGGAAACGAATCACAATAGTGTGCATTGCATTGGCAATGCACACTGGTGTCATGTGTCATCTCAGGACTGCATGTACTCCTAAAAAACAAGATTAGTTAACACACACCTTATCGCCATACAACAGACTAATATATAGTTATTTATTTTTCATTAGGCGGTAGATATGGGTCTGGTTTCATTATTCAAATCTGCATTTAAGACCTTTAATTTTAGTACAACTCTTAATATTATTATGTCTAAAATCCTCAAACAAAAATATGACATTGATATTTAAGTTTCCAATTCCTTGTGACATACTATGTTTGTTATTTTTATTCTCTCCCGTTTCATTTTTATCAATGATTTCAGCGAGAACAAAGCTTTTTCTTTCCTTCTACATGCTTTACGGTAGAACTGAACTGTTGTAAAACCGGAAGTCCTCGTGACAACTTCCTTGGTAACCAGAAGCTTGTTGTTTGGGATTTAGCATTTAGCTTCTTCGGAAAATGTCATCCTATAAATCTAATAGGCTTCAAATAATATTTTTATTTCACATTATGCGGGCATGTTTTGGGTGTAACTAATTGTTTGGCCCTCAAATGTGCCCTCAACACCATGGTTTTATCGACGAGATGATGTTTTTCTGTTTATATTCGCTCATTCTGTCACATGGACGTCTGACTCTCGCAGCCACAGACTTTGGAACCGCTTCCACTCCGAGCCCTACTACAGGGGAGCGGTTCAGCTCAGTCACCCCGGCTCCGGGCGGGACGGGGACCCATCAGACGGCTACTCTTCATCCCGCTCTGGACTCCGTTGTAACCGCCACACAGGACTTCACGGTAACCGGTACATCATCATCCGAGTCTCCCACTGCGGTCACCGAGGCTCCATCAGCAACCACCGTAAAGCAGGCTGTGCTACCTGCAGGAGGTAGCCCTTGTTTTATCTTTGCAGCAGCCAATTAACCTCGTTTGGTATAACGAGTTTATTGCGTCACACTTTTTTTTCTATGTGAACATTAAATCTTTAGTCAAGAAGTCATCCTTGTCTCTGTTTCCAGGTTGTCTCTGCGATCTGACGCCTGATTTTTGTGACATCGGCTGCTGTTGTGACGCAGCAGACTGTGACGTTGATAATTTAACAACTGTCTTCACGGGATGTCCTCAAGGACTTCTGTATGACACACACACACACACACACACACACACACACACAC